TATAAGTGGAATTATACAGTACCTGTCTTTTTGTGTCTGACTTACTTCACTTAGCATAGTGTCCTCCAGGTTCATCCCTATTGTAGCGTATGTCAGGACTTCCCTTTTTTCAAAGTCTGAATAATATTCCGTTGTGTGTATATGCCACATTTTGTTTTCATTCATCTGTTCATGGAAACTGGGGTGCTTCTGTCTTTTTGGCTGCAGTGAATAATGTTGCTATGAACATCCATGTGCAAATATCTCTCTAAGACCCTGTTTTAAGTTCTTTTGAGTATATAATCAGAAGTGAAATTCCTGGATCATATGGTAATTTGGTGTTTAATTTTTTGAGAAACTGCTATACTGTTTTCTACAGTGGCCTTCTACAGTGGGTGGCTACACCATTTTACATTCCCACCAGCAATGGACAAGGATTCCAGTTTCTCCACATCCTAGTCAACATTTGTTATTTCTGTTTTTCCATCCTCATGGCACAAAGTAGTATATTTGCTACATCCCTAATGATTAGAGATGTTAATCTTTACTTTTTAATTGAGTATTTAGTCCATTTATACTTAATGCAGTTATTAGAGTATATGAGTTTAAGTCTAAACTCAAATTAAATTGAAATATCTTGGTGTTTGAATTCTATTTTTCCCATCTGTTCTTTGTTCTTCCTTTCCTCCTTTCAGGTGAATCCAGTTTTTGAAAGTTCATTTTATTTCCTTTACTGATTTTTTTAGTTCTCTCTCTCTCTCTCTTTTTTTTTTTATAACGATTGTATTTATTTACTCATGAAGAGACACAGAGAGAGGCAGAGATATAGTCAGAGGGAGAAGCAGGCTTCCCATGGGGATCCTGATGCAGGACTCAATCCCAGGACCCCTGGATCACGACCTGAGCCAAAGGCAGATGCTCAATCACTGAGCCACCCAAGCATCCCATAGTAAAAGATTTTAACATCTCTTGCTCTCACCAAATATTGGAACAAAAACCCAAAAGAAATTAGTAAAGACAAAGAGGATCTGAACACTGCTCTCAGACATCATGACCTAATTGCTATTTATAGAAAGCTACACTCATCAAAACCAGAATACAAATTCCTACTACGTGCGTATTGTACATTCTTTAATATAGATCAAGTGCCGTACCCTAAAACATGTTTCAAAAAAACTAAAAAAGTAAAGCTGTTTTTATTTGCAGAGGACATCATTTATGTAGGATATCCTAAGAAATTTATAAAAAGTGCTAGAACTATCAAGTGAATTTAGTAAGATTTCAGAAACCAAGGCTGAGGGACAGATTTTAACTGTATTTTTATGTATTGGCAGCAAACTATTAAAAAATGAAATTAGAAATTCAGTTCTATTTGCAATAATACAAAAAATAAAATAGTAATAAGTTTAAAAACGTATTTGTTAAGTAGTCTGAGCTCATGTAGAGGACTGGCTTGTCCAGAACCTTCTGCTTAGGACCACCTCTGCACCACAAACTTTAGAAGACAGCTGAAAAGAAAACTTGAAGAAATGGGAAGTGAGCACATTCATAGATTGGAAGACTCAGTATTATTAAAATGTTGATTATCCCAGCCAAAATTCCAGCAGGCTTTTTTGTAGCAACTGACAAAGTGATTCTAAAATACGGAAATGCACATAACCTGGACTTGACAGAGCAATTGAACAAAGCAAAGCTTATATGACCTGTTTTTCAAGATTTCAGTAAAGCTTTAGTTATTGAGACTGTGGTGTTGGTGAAGGATGGACACACAGATGAATGGAGCAGAAGAGAAAGTCTAGAAATAGACCCATACATATACACTCAGTTGATTTTCTTCTTTATTTATTATTTTCTTAAGATTTTACTTATTTATTCATGAGAGACACAGGCAGAGGGAGAAGCAGGCTCCATGCAGGGAGCCTGATGTGGGACTCGATCCCAGGTCTCCAGGAGACAGACGCTTTAACCACTGAGCCACCCAGGCATCCCTGAACATACGTATATCTGATAAAGAACATGTGAAGAACTATTACAACTCATAATAGAAAGCCAGTTAAACAAAATGGGCAAATAATTGAAAAAAACAAACACTTGAGTGCTAAGAACCATCATTAGTCATCAGGGAAATGCAAATTAAAGCAACACACCCACTGACACAAAGCCAAGTGCTGGTGGGAGCATGTGGTGGTACCACCAGCATGGGAGACAGATCGGCAGGTTAGAAAGGTAAATACACACTTACCTTGACCCAAGAGAAATTAAAACAAATGTCATACAAAGACATGCACAAAAATGTCCACAGCAGTTTTATTCATAGCCACTAAAATCCAGAAACAGTCCAGTCAGCAGGTGGTTGGGTAAAGGCAACGTTGTATATCCTCACAACAGAATATCATTCAGCCATAAAGGAATGAAGTGCAGGGATCCCTGGGTGGCGCAGCGGTTTGGCGCCTGCCTTTGGCCCAGGGCACGATCCTGAAGACCCAGAATCGAATCCCACGTCGGGCTCCCGGTGCATGGAGCCTGCTTCTCCCTCTGCCTGTGTCTCTGCCCGTCTCTCTCTCTCTCTCTCTCTCTCTCTGTGTGTGTGACTATCATAAATAAATAAAAATTAAAAAAAAGGAAGTGCAGATGAATCTAAATATCATTAGTTCAAGTGGGAGGAGCCAGGAACAGAAGTGTGCATACTGTATGGTTCATTTACATAAAACTCTAGAAAATGCAAGCTGATCTGCAGTGACAAAGATCAGACGTGGATGTATGAAGCCAGGCTTGAGGGAAAAACAGCAGAGGGGCTCAGATGTCATCTGTGGGTGGCAGAGACATCCTCCACGGTGTGTCTGAACTCACTGAGCTGTGTGCTTTACATGGATGCAATTTATCGTGTATAAATTATATTCCAGGGCAGCCAAGGGGTCTCAGCGGTTTAGCACCGCCTTTAGCCCCGGGCGTGATCCTGGAGACCTGGGATAGAGTCCTGCGTCGGGCTCCCTGCATGGAGCCTGCTTCTCTCTCTGCGTGTGTCTCTGCTTCTCTCTCTCTGTGTGTCTCTCATGAATGAATAAATAAAAGCTTAAAATAAATAAATTATATTCCAATAACATCAACTAACTAGTGTTGATTAAAATCTTAGACTTCTGAGGGGCGCCTGAGTGGCTCAGTTGGTTAAACATCTGCCTTTGGCTCGAGTCATGATCCTGGGGTCCTGGGATGGAGGTCCCCATTGGGCTCCTTGCTCAGTGGGGAGTCTTCCCCTCCCCTGCCCTCCACTTGTGCTCTCTTTCTCTCTCTCTGTCTCAAATAAATAAAATCATAAAAAAAATTTTTTTGGACTTCTGATTCCTGAATTGAAAGTATTTTGTGACTTATTGTGACCCTGAGAATGCCTCTTACCACAGAGTAAGCTAGAAGATCCATGACTTTTAGGGTTTCCACAAGGCAGAGAGAGCACACGTTGAATAGACAAAGAGGAAGAGATTTGATCACACCTGTCAGCGTGTCTGTGACATTAGGAGTTCCTATCCTAGAAAGGAGAAGGTACATTTTGAATAATGCATGCATTTCAAATGGGATGGCATGAATAAGGGGCAGGGAGGGGGCTCTTAACAAGGCCTGGTTGTTCCTGCTTCTGCAGGGCTCCTAAGCACTAAGTGAGGAGCAGGACAGAGCCCCAGCCCGTGTCCCAATATCGCTGTCAAGCGCATGTCATCCCGGCATCCTCGATGGTGGGGCTCTTCCCCAGGCTGGAACTTGCGTCCTGCTGGTTTTGAGGCCGGATGAGGAACGGGTTTCTCATTCCCCGGCCCAAAATGTATTCCTTGCTGACCCACGTTGTCACCATGGAAGCTTCATCTCCAGAAACCTGAACAGGTTCCCTGAGTAACAACAGCTCTTTCTGTTGAGTAAGAAGTCTTTTTAGAGGTGACTTTTTTACTCAAAATATTTAGCCAGCTGTGTTCTGGACATATTATAATTATGATTACCATGTTGCAAGTTAAGAGAAACTTTTTTTTAAGATTTTATTTATTTATTCATGAGAGACACACACACAGAGAGAGAGAGAGAGAGAGAGAGAGAGAGAGAGAGAGAGGCAGAGACACAAGCAGAGGGAGAAGCAGGCTCCATGCAGGCAGCCCGATGTGGGACTCAATCCTGGGACTCCAAGATCATGCACTGGGCCGAAGGCAGGCACTAAACCACTGAGCCACCCAGGCTTCCCAGAAACTTATTTTTTTAAAGATTTTTTTTATTCATTCATGAGAGACACACAGAGAGATGTAGAGACACAGACAGAGGGAGAAGCAGGCTCCCTTCAGGGAGCCCAATGCAGGACTCGATCTCAGGACCCCGGAATCACGCCCTGAGCCAAAGGCAGATGCTCAATCGCTGAGCCACCCAGGCGTCCCAAGAGAAATTTATTTAAAACCTTAACAGCACAGCAGGATTTGTGCAGGTTAGTCTCCTCTGGTCATTGGAAATGTGACAGCTTCAGTACTAAGTCAAGTGGGCTGCTGAGTTTTGAGTTTGCTGGTGTTGGGAAACTTATGTGCAGCATGTGGCACTGTCCTGTCTGCCTGCTACCCCATCGAGGTCTTCTGCTCTGAAGTTGTCCTCAATCATGGTTCTAGATGGTAGTTCTGTCACCCAAGGTGACATTTTTCCTGCAGTTTCCATGACAAGAGCAGGGTGAGGAGTAGAAAATTGTAAGGCTGAGGGTCCCTGACTGGCCCCAGAGGTGTTTCACTGCCTCTTGGTAAAAATGCTTGAATTGGGGTTTTTCCAAGGACAGAACAAGGTGGTAGATGGGCAAGTCCTGTCCAAACTCATGAGTAGGGCTGGTGCATCCAGAAGTTCCTATTGTTTAGTTTCCTCAGGAGGGAGGGAGTGACTGAAAGCTGTGCAGGAAGGAGCGAGTTAATCCAGATCCACAACCAGATGGGTTGATCTCAGCTCTGGGGGCTTCTTATGGTAAGTCAGTGGAGCCTACCCACACAGGCCTCACCGTCTGCCTTGATTTGCAGGCTTGGGACCAGGGATCTGCAGTTTCATAGCAGCCCCGCCCTGCCGGCTAAGCACTGGGTACCCACTCTGGATGTCTGCAGCTCCCATCCCAGAGGGCCAGGTAAGGGTCCTGCACCTCAACTCCCACCTGGTGCCCTGAGGAGGTGCCCACATCTGCACAGTTCCCCTATCTGTTGCAGACCCTATGTTCTGGAATATGGCGCTCCAGCGTGCCATCCTCCTGGCGGGCCTCCTGGTGGAAGTTGCCAGCAAATCCTCAGAAAGTGTGGTAGGTATCTCATCCCACCGTGGCTAGGGCCAGGAAGTAAAGTTGAAACCTTCTTTTCCTAGTCATTCATGGAGGCAGTGGGCCCTTTGCCCAGAAGGGGCCTCACCCTTCAACCTTTATTTACCCACTGTCGGGGTCAGAGACCCCTGTGCCTCATGGAAGGCAACAAACACACGCCCCCGAGCTGGCATGTGCTCTGTTATGCATCCTAGAGCCTTCTTTTTCTCTTTGCCAAACTGAACCTGTTGCGGTGGCTGGAAATGGGTCTCTATAGAGCTGCCCCTACTGGCATGAATGGAGCCTGCGAGCTGCCTGCCCAACTTGGTGGATGGAGACTGTGTACTCCAGGCAAGCGGCAGCATTAGACAGGGTCCCAGGCCAGTGTTATGGGTACGCTGCACCCCTGGCTAGTGCCCACATACACCCAGCCACACATCATCCAGGCCAGGTGGGGCCTTCCAGCCACATGGGATGGCTGGGGTGTCCCTCATGGGCTTGGCCTCAGCCATGAACTGGCCTTGGACACCTCCTGTGATGGCATGGATACTCCACTCCTTAGGCACCCTTTACTGTTGAATGTGTTCTAGTCGCTAAAAACAAGCTCAGCTATGACACACACACACTGAGCCAAGTTCCCACTAGAAACCCCTCAAGTCTGGTCCTGTAAATGCCAGCACCTGGCATATCTGTTTCCCATTCAGTACATGCCCACACATGCATACAGCAGGCGTGAGTTCACACCCTACAACCTGCCCTGGTCTGGGCACTTCCTCTGCAGGGGCCACACTGGAAATCCCTGGTGGAGGGCATCCATGGAATTGCTGAGAATGTCAGTGGAGCAGCCAGGACCCTGGGGTGACTATCTTTTGGGGAGCAAAGGGCAGACACGCCTCACCAGGGAGGCCGTGAGTTCCTGGGTTTATTGTCCTATTTTATTACAGTCTAGAAAGTCATGTGCTGCTTTTTCCTGTGAAGGAGTCCACATGTGGCACTGGAGTAGGGTTTAACACCTTTAATTGTTTAATTTCCAAAGCCACCATCTGGCAAGTGGTGAATAACATACAGGCACACCTTGTTCTGGGCACCCTCTTATTCTGTTGCACTTTACAGATATGCTGTTTACAAATTAAAGGTCTGGGGCTACCCTATGTTGAGCACACCTATTGGTGCCATGTTTCTATCAGCATGCACTCACATCATGTCTCTGTGCCACATTTTGGTAATTCTTGCAACGTTTCAGACTTTTTCATGACTATCGTATTTGTTATGGTGACCCGCTGAAAGCTTGGGTGATGTTCAGCATTTTTAGTGGTGAAGTTTATTTTTAAATTTTTTTAAAGATTTTATTCATGCATGAGAGACACACAGAGAGAGGCAGAGACACAGGCAGAGGGAGAAGCAGGCTTCATGCAGGCAGCCCGATGTAGGACTCGATCCCTGAACTCTGGGATCATACCCCCTGAGCCAAAGACAGACACTCAACTGCTGAGCCACCCAGGCATCCTATGGTGAATTATTTAATGAAGGCATGTAGGTTGTGTTTAGAAACAATGCAATTGCATGCTTATGAGACTATAGTTCAGTATAAATATAACTTTTACATATACTGGAAGACAGAAAATTCACTTGATTCACTTTATTGTGTTCTGGAACCGAATCCACAGTGTCACCGAGTATGCCTATACATTTTTCGGATTGAAGTGCCTTACCCTATATCCTCTTGTAGTCCACAGGGGTGAGTGGCTGTAGCTCTCCCTCAGACCGAGAGACCCACCTGCAGAAAGGGCCACCACCTCCACTACCTCCCAGGTGAGGCTTTGCGTGGTCAGGCAGGCAGTGGAGAGACCACTCACAGCCCAGGACCACTCCCTGCCTTACCAGGGCTGCCCCAACCCAGGGCCCTGGTCAGAATCCCCAAGGGGTCCCCTCTATCTGACTCTTGGGAATCTGAATGCTGAGAAACACGCTTCAATGTGTATTTAGTCATCAAACTGTCCCAGGAGGTGTTCATGTGCTGTTGCTGTGTCCTCACCTCACTCTGGGAAGCCAGGAAGCGGCCACCTGATTCTGAAGTTAGAAGAGGCAGAGCCGTGAGTGTTGGGTCAAGCCTGTGAAGTAGGATGCCATTCTCAGCCTGGCCTGCTATTCCTGCCGAGCCCCGAGCTATGGGGTCTAGAAACTCACAGCCATCTCCCCCGCAGGGTCAGCAGCCTGAATGCTGTGTGGACATGCTGGCCACTAACACCACCTGCCAGGGCACAGGCCTGTGTGGTCCAGGTAAGCTGCTTGGCACAAGCTGACCTTGATGAGCCTTGGAGATGAGAGCAGTGGTCACCATGCCTGCTATGAGCCAATGGGCACCCAAGCCCCTCAGGAAGGACACTGGACATACCTGGGAGCTGGGGTGAGGGGCAGAAGATTGGTCAGAGGCAGCGGGAAGGTGACAGGATCCCATCGGAGCCCCCCTTCTGGCCGGCGGGTGGTGGCAGGACCCCATGAGGGGCCTGGCTCTGGGCAGTGGGAGATGTGGGGGAGGTGAGACTCTGCTTGTCCCTCTTAGGGTCCCTGGCAGGGCCATTAAGGGGGGACGAGCCCCCAGACTGATTTAACATAAGCTTCACGTGACACACCCCCCCCCCCCCCCCCGAGGAATCTGAGATCCAGAGGAGGGGCACAACAAGCCTGTGTGCTCACCTGCAGGCTGAGCAGGGAGAGGGGACTGCAGGAGGGCGGTGGCGTGCTGGCTGCAGGCAGATGGGGACGCCCGACTCTCGTCTCTGGCAGTGAGTGTATGTATATCTTTCCTCCCACTGCATGGGCGTCCTCCACGGAGTCCTGTCTCCTGCTTCTCGGGGAGAAAAAGGGAGGTCAGAGCCCTTGGCTGAAAATATTTTTGCGTGTGAAAGAGGCATATTCTGGTTTCCCTCAGTTCCATTTGCAACTTTATCTTCGGAAAGTTTCACACATTAAAAGCCAAGTTGGTAGCTGCAGAGAGAATTGGATTGGAATTTGTGAGATAAGAGAGCAGCAAAGGGGTGGAAAAGGCGTAGATGGAACCAGAAGAAAAGCAGGGGTGTGAGCACGCCGTCGCATGCCTCGCCGATGGGCCCGAGCCTGGCAGTGCTTAGGCCCGTGAAGCTGATGCGCTGGCGTCAGGAGCCGGCGTGCAGGCAGGCCTCCTCCAGCGTTAAGTCTCTGTGTGGTGTGAGTAATCAGGTCCTTGGTAAGAAGCGTTTCTATGGAAATAAAAACAAATGTCAGCAGTTGGAGCAAATCATAAGTCTAGTTTTTGAGTCTAGAGGGCAGTCAGCTCAGTATACTTCTAGATGTTGGACTCAAAGCCAATTTAGGTGGAGTGAGAGTGTTTGAGGAATCCCGGGATTGCCCTGTCCCTGGTGAAGCCAGGGGGTGCTTCTTGTGAACTTTCTGAGTGGCCCACACAGCAGCAGGCATGAGGCCTCAGTTCGCGGGGCTCTGGGGGAAAGGGCAGCTTTCTTTCATCGTGATTCCCAGTCAGAAGGGTGGGAGGAAGGTGGGAGTGTCAGTTTGGAGAGTTGTAGCCAAACATTGGAAGAGAGACTGGAGGAATGCAGGAGCCAGTGCAGCTTACAGGCAGGTAACAGAATGTCAGACACGACAAGCAGGAGTCTGATACCCACACAGATGCGTCACAGACACAGTCACCCCCACTTCTACCAAAGATAATCATAGTGAGACATGAATTTGCTTTTAAAATAAGTCTAGCCTCATTAAACGTGGCCTGATCATCTACATAAGTGCAGCAAGACTAGTGATTGACCACGTAAGACTCTTAAGTCTGCCTTGCTGGACCTTTCCCACAAGGAATCCTCCACTGGACTCCGGGTTGGGGGACCAAGCCAAGGACTCGCCATCAGACCTCAGCCTCAACGCCCATAGATTTGGGTGAATTCCTCTCTTCTCAAAGTCAAATATCCTGTTTCCTGGACTTGCCCAGAAGTGACCTTCCTTACTCACCTGTAAGGCTGGGAAGCCAGTAAGCCAGATATCAGGTGGTTTTTCAAAGGGGCTTCATTGGCTTCATCAAGTCACCCTTAGCTCCTTAGTCTTCCTGGTCACCAGTCCCGGCTCTCTAGCTGTTCCTTGTCCCTGCACACAGCAGCCCAGCCAGGGCCTCCTCGAGGCTGGCAGCCCCGGGTAGCGTTGCCCAGTTACTCAAAGCCATTCAGAGGGGTGCTTTTCAGGAGATCTGCTGCCCTGGTGCCAGGTTTGTGCCAGGCTCCTGTTCCCAGGCCCCTGGTGCAGTGCTAGGCCTGTCTGCCCACAGCATCGCAATCTTCAGGGTCTGCCATCCGCTGGTTGTCCCTGCAGAAAGGTCTTCTCACCACGACACATTGTGAGTAGATTAAACATCAGTAAAATTCATTATGAAGAACATGTGGTCTGTGGCATGTCCCTGGACGCTGCCCCCAGCACCAGCACTAGCATTCAGGGGCAGCTCAGTACGGGTACTCAGTATCAGACAAGCACGTATTTGCAGCCTCTGTGCTAAATGTTGGGATGTTAAAAAATAAAGGTATGAGTCACAATTCCTGCCCTTAAGGGGTGCCTTAGCTAGTTGGCAAAGTGGACTATCTGTTAACCGCTGGTTGGGGGAGGCCAGGGCTGCTGGTGGCAGCAGCCATCTGGGACCTCCCCAGGGCAAGGGGCAACAGAAGGGCAGGGGTCACACCTGGGCTGCAGACGGTGCCACCGATGGGGGTGAGCCTGGTCCCTGTGGCACCTGTGGAGGTGGGCTGACATCAGTGGTCTGGCTGCCAGGGTCCTCTCTAGAGCACAAGGCCACTGCATGGCACCTGCCTGTCTCAGATTCCTAGTTTCTCTGGAGTGTTTTACAAGATGTCCAAGGAAAGGAGCCTACAGGAGCCCCTGGGTGAGAGCTTGGTGTGGCTCCAGTCAAGCTTGCATCTTTTTCTGAAATCGAATGTGCCATTCCACCCAGACTTCCAGAACAAGCCCATTAGCATTCCTGATGAACTGTCCTATCACAAACTCAATGCAGAAAAGCTCCCTGGAGGCATGTACTGGTGTGGGTGGCGTGGTGCTGAGTCTCTGTCTCCTGCACAGGCTGCTACGGACACCAGAATGAGGACGGCAGTGTCAGCTGCGTCCGCTGCACAAACAGCACCTACGGCTCTGCCTGCAGTGGCCGCCCTGCTGCACCCCCCGCCAGGCCCACATGGCCTGCTTCCCACCGAGGGGCTGCATCTCCAAGTTCTGGAGGAACGGGTGGGTGTCACCCTATTTGTCCCCACACCAGCAGGTGGCCCTCCTCACCCTGGACCACTGTCCGTCGAGGGAACACCCCCACCCCACCCTGCCCGCCCGGTCCCCTCTCCCTGAGTCTTCTTGTCCCTGCAGGACAGCCATAGGGTGAGGGCAGCTCCGTCTCCATGGCCACTTCCCTTCCTGGCCTCTGGTCTGTGATTCCCCTCTGGGCTGTGTCTCTTGCTCCCTGGGGGTCCTCAGTGGAGTCCCCTGCATGGTCCACATCTGCCCATGGCTCTGGGCTGCCTGGGGAGCTGGCAACACTGACAGCTCTGCTTCCCCACAGTCGCTGGCTGGGGCGCACAGTTCCCGATGAACAGTAGTGCGGGGATGCCCGGACAGCCAAATCTTGGTAAGTCCCTGGCTCAGCAGATCAGAGCAGAACCTCTGCCCAGGTCCTGGTGGAGGAAGGGGTCATCATCTCTGGCATTCCGTGCACTTGACCACCTACGCTGGCCTCAGCAGGGCCACAGCCACGGCCAAGGTCACACTGCACTCCAGGCAGGAGATCTATGGACAGGAACTCAGCCTGACCACAGAGCAGGGCTGGGGTCACTAGGCATGGGCAGGCAGCCCTGGACCTCACACATCCCCCTTTGCCTCAATCCTGGCCCACCCAGCCCCTCAGTCCATGGGAACCCAGGATGTGCATGTGGTTCTCTGGAGATGGGAGGGCACCCTGAGGTCCCCTTGCCCCCTCCCCTGCGGCTCTTCTGAGGATATGGTACTCATCCTGCATGCACTGCATGCCAGGCACACAAACCTGGTGCTCAGGGGCAGACACGGGACCCTCCTATCTGAGATGCAGCCTACCCAGCCACAGGGGCATGACCCTGCCATGGGGGCCACTGGTCAGGGAGCAGGACCCGCCCCAAGAGGGGTCACCTCCTCTTCCCAGATGACCAGGTTGTGATGGGGGCAGAGAGCGTGTTGGACCCAGACTGAGGGCTCTGGCTTTCTGCACAAGTTTCAGGCCCAGCAGCCAGGGCCTCACACTGGCTGGTCACCAGAGCAGCAATTCTAGGGTGGGGTCAGCACAGATGTCCATGACCTCCTGGGACACCGTGCTGGGTCTGGCAGTGAGGGTACCAACAGAGGAACACCAGCAGGTCTGGCTCTAGAGTCTGTTTTCATTGCAGCAAATTTGGGGCAGGACACGGCAAATTAGCTGGAATTCACTACCTCCCAGGTTCCAGCATAGCTGTGGCCACACCTCATGCCTGGGTTTCAAGATCAGAAAGTCACCTCCCCATAGACATTGAGGAGCACTTTCCCCACAACTACCACCCAGAGGCCCCTGCCAGGGGCCCACCAGCCCATCCTGACCCTGTGTAGGTAAAGATGGCCATCTGGGGACGAGGAACAAGCTACCAGGAGGCAAGGGTGTAGGGGGAACCCCTGCCTCTGCCCTGAAGGCTTTGACCTGGCAGCTGGGGATATGTGGCACCCCACAGTGTGCGCTGGGTCTTCAGGAAGGAGCTGGGGACCCCAGGCCTGGAATCCCTGCCCCGTTCAGTGTTCCACCTCCCTGTAGCCCCATAGCTGGGTGTGTGGGTCTCTGTGTGGGACCCTATGAGGGTTCAGGTGTGCATGGGAATCCTGGAGACCCCTGTCCAATGCAGCCCACCCAGGCCAGTCACTGGCAGCCTTTCCTTTTGCTCACAGGGAGCCCTCAGGTGGCAGCCTCTCTCTTCCTGGGGACCCTCTTCATCAGCTCTGGCCTCATCCTGTCGGTGGCTGGGTTCTTCTACCTGAAGCGTACCAGTAAACTCCCCAAGGTCTTCTACGGGAGAGACAAAGGTATTCCCTCTTGCCACGCTAGGACTAGAGCGCATGCCCACTTACTGCCTGGGGGACGCAGGGAAGGGGTGTCAGCCCTAAGGACTCCTCACAAAACAGTAAGAAGGGGACTTGGTTGTCATGTGGTTCTTTTGTCAGAATAAGAGGGGCAGCCTCGTCCTGGGGAGGCTTCCCTTGGATTCTGTGGGGTCCTCAAAGGAAAGGTATTGGCATGACCCCACCTCAGGGCATTATGGCAGGGTTGCTGATCCCTGGTCTTGGGTCCACCTGCCCGCGGCTCCCCCCAAGCTGTGTCCTCTCCCTATCCTGCGCCCTGGGAATGGGGTGGGCAGGCTGGTGCAGAGACTGGGGGGCCCCACACTGCCCCAGCTTGCCCTGGGATTGGACACCAGACCTGCCTCCCTCTGGAAGAGTCGGGTGTCACACCTGCTATGCCTTCAGGTGTGCAAGGCAAATGGCCCGGGCAACAGATCTGACCCTTCAGGGGATAGTGCCAGTGGGTGATTAGCCAGGGTCTCCTCACCCAGCCTCCATGAGACCCAGTGCTGGGTGCCTCAGTGGGGCTGTTGCAGCTCTCAGGTCCTGAGAGTCAGGGGCTGGGCCCCCATGCCAGTTGTGTGGGCACTCCTGCTCTGCAGCCATGGTCAGAGAGGTCTTGGAGTGGCTGCAGTGGCTGGGGCAGGCCCGCTCCATGTCTCTCCTCCCTACCACCCCCAGGCGGGGCTTGGTCAGCCTAGGTGGCCACCAGGAATGCAGGGGTGCATAGCAGCCTCCCCGTGGAGGTGCGCAGGGCAGCACGGCAGTGGTCTCCTTGAGGTGGGGGTGGTACCCTCTCTTTACCTGCTGGTACCTTCTGAGGGCTGGGTTGTCGCTCTGCCAAGAGGGCCTGGGAGGGAAGCTTTCTCAGGGTTCTTGGGGGGCCCTCACCCCGAATGCAGGGGGGAAATGTGGCTGGACAGGCACCCCGGGCACTGCTGGGTGGGCGTGTGGAGTCAGGGGAAGAGCCTCTGCAGCCCCGTGGACCCCCTCCCCAGGCAAGAGGCCCTGGTCCTGGGTGAGACCCCTGTGCGACCTCCCGGTGACACCCATGTTTGCCCACAGCCCCTGCTCTGCAGCCTGGCGAAGCCGTAAGTAACCTGGAAGGATGGGCCCAGTGCCCCACACCGCGGGCCTCTGCTGGGGGCCACCCACTCTTCTCACTGTGCCTTTTCTCCTTTTCAAGGCCGCCATGATCCCCCCGCCACAGCCCTCAGGTATGTCAGTCCTCATCTCAGGGTGAAAATGTCAACATTCTCCTGCTTGTGGGATCGGCCCATCTCCGGGGACACCGCAGGGCTGAGCTCTGCAGGCACCCGGTCCTGCTGCTCTTGGGACTCGGGCCAGGTCTCCCTGCAATCCATGGCTCTCCTGCCTCTTCTTTTTTATTCCTTTTTATTCTTGACATATTGAGTCTGTTGGGAGAGAAGGAGATTCCCCAGCACAGGGCCTGAGGCCACCCCTGAAGCCTTCGCTTAGCCATCACCAAGTCCCAGCTCAGCCTGGGTGGTGGGTGCAGAGGGCGGGCTGGTCTGGGTGTCAGGCCCTCCCCCGCCCCTCTGGAGGGGCTGGCAGTGCAGTGTTACTGGGCCAGGTGCCCCACCTTGGACGATTCCAGGTGTAGGCACACATTCAACCCCGTTTAGATGACAGTATGAGTACAGAGAGGTTAGGTGACTGGCCCGTGGTCACACAGCTACAGGCCATGAGTGGGAGTCTCCTGGCCTCCCCCGTCAGTGCTGCAGTCTGCAGTGTGGACAAGGCGGGCTGTGCTGTGTTCTGGGGAGTACTTGTCTCTGCTTTTTCTAAGGGGACACCATATGCACACGCATCTTACATCTCTCTGTGTTATTCTCCTGGGGCGATGTGACCAATGACCACAGACAGGAGGCTTGAAATCACAGAAATGTATTCTCTCACAGTCCAGGAAGCACAAGTCAGAGATGCAGGTGGGGGCGGGGGGGCACTCTCTCCCATCTCTAGGGGACGCCGCCTCCTGCCCTTCCAGCCTCCCCGTGCTGTGGCCATGCCAGCCCCTGCTCCCGTCTTCACGTGGTTTCTCCCAGGTCTCCTCTCTCTTTCTCCCTCTTGTAAGAATGTAGGGCCTCCAGCTAATCCAGGAGGATCTCCCTTCAAGATCCTTGACCACATCAGCAATACCCTTTTTCCAAGTAAGGTCGCACCTGCAGGTTCTGGGGCTCCGGACGTGGGCCCTGCTGTACCTCACGGGGCCTCTGTGTCTCAGGAGAGCAGGGCCCTTGCCCAGGCCGAGGGGCTTGAGGAGCAGGGGCACTGAGTGTCTGTGACGAGTGGGGCAGGCATCCGACTCTCGTCAGCAGCGGCAGCTCTGCACACAGGCCGGGGCTCCCTGCTCGGCTGCTCCCCACTCATGCCAGGAGCTCTAGGGCCGCCCTCCCTGTCTCAGGCCCTGCTCTGACCCTGCCTGTCTCTGACCCTGTTTCAGTGCGGAAGCCGCGCTATGTGAGGCGCGAGCGGCCCTTGGACAGGGATGTGGGCCCCGCAGCCATCTCCTCGGTGGAGGCCCGGGTTAGCAACGTCTGACCCAGGGCCCCCCCACCGCTCCGCACACCGCCTTGGAGAGGACCCAGCGCACAAGGGGCAGGTGCTGCCCAGCAAGGCCTCAGGATGGGTGTGGGCGCGGCCCCTGGCTCAGCATGGCGGTGTCCCAGCAAGGGACGCTGGGCGGAAGCTGCCCGAAGGAGCTCCTGCCCCCTAACAGCTGCAAGGCCTGAGGGGCTAGGAGCCATGGCCAGAGCGTGGCCAGATGGGGCCTGGGCCCCTGAGGAGAGACTGCTGGGCGGCACCATGTCTGGCCAAGCAGGGGGCTCGGCTACTCCCCTCGCGGAGCCCATGGTGGGCAGACACCCCCAGCACCACAGGGCCTCCCGCATCCCCTCTGGAACATGCCCGGACAAGGGGAGGTGAGGGACGAGAACTGGCCACTCCAAGGTGGAGGCGCCCATGGGGCTGTCCCGTAGCCACGACCCCCTGAACCTCCCCCCCCCCAAGCCCAAGACTACACATTTCCCGGAGCAGCAGAGGCATTTCCTGTTTCTTCCCAACTTCTGTCAGTTTTAAGCAGAACACTGCTCTCCCCGTCGTCTCTGCCTCGACCTGCTCCCACACTGGGCCCTGTCCCCCAGGAACGGACACGGACCCGAAGCGATGGGAGACCAAGGCCAGGCCCCCAGAGGGACGTGTCCACCTAGGGCCACGTGTACCTGGACCACTGCCTGGGGAGCCTGGGTCGATGACCCCGGGGAGGGCTGTGCTGACCAGTGGTCCTGGACCCCCTGCCCTGGGTCTGAGACACGTTTCTGGCACTGGCTGGTTCCCGAGGAGAAAGCAGCAGTCATGGCAGCTCTCACGCACTGGGCTGGGCCCTGACCTCCCCAGATTCCATTGGGGCTGCTACCTCCTCCAGCACCGTGATGCCCGCCCTAGCATGGACAGGTTGCGGATACTTGAACCCACGACGGGCCCAGCAGCTGACAGGGGCACACCAGCTTTAATCAGTGTCAATAAACTCTTCAGGGCTTCCCTCCACCGTTCTTACTGCTCGGTCTGTTTCTCAGTCAGGGGGCCATTGGCCAGGCTGACAGGACCTCTCTCACTTCACCAGGAACGGGTCCTCGTGGGCACTGCCGCTCGTTCCTCTGTTCCCCAGCCCCCACCCCCACCCCCCGTCTGAGGAGAAGGGGACCCAGGTGGAGGTTGAGACCAAGATCAGCCCCCACCCCCCGGCCAGCTTCAGGGACCACAGCGGGTGCCGCCGCGGTCTGGGCCGCTCTGTACCAATTTGGGGGCTGGGGCTGGGAGCCAGGGGAGAATGTGCAGAACCCTCCAGATCCCCCTCGTTTCTGAGCACGGGGAACCTGTCCCATCCTGTGGACCCTTGGGGAGGGAGGGGACTCCCTTGTCCTGTTCCCACTTAGCACCAAGCCTGGCCGCCAATCTGGGGAGAAAACAGGAAATGCAGAGCCATGTGTGACCAGGAGAGCAGGTCCAGCCAGTCAGGCCCTGGCTGGGCCCCTACCTCCTTGTCCATCTCCCACCCTGGGTACAGATTGGAAGCCTGGGCTGAGGCCAACATCTCCATGTCCCTTCCCCAAACCCCCCTGTGCCAGCCTCAGCTTTGTCCCACCCTTGGCAGCAAAGACAACTCTGAATTCGACCTTGCAGCCCCCTCTGGCTCCCATGCTCAAGATGTGCTTCTCCTGACCTTCAAGGCCTCGGTGGCCTAGTGTTTGGGGCCCCCAGCCTGCCAGCCTCCCTGTGCCACTGGGCATCCCCTGGGCCTAGGTGCCACTGTCCTTGAGGCCCCCAAATAGTGGGGAGTAAGGTCACTGGACTTAGCAGCCTCGTGACCCTGACAGGTATTCAGTCGAGAAAGCACATGAGTGGGTGCAGTGGGGCACAGGGGAACCTGAGCCTGGTGTGGGGCAGCTGATAGGGTCAGGGCATCTGCAGGGGCACCCTGATTGGCCGCTCCTTCCATCCTGTGCTCCATTCTCTGCCAGTCCTTACCTGGACTCCAGCCCTCACGTATGAGGCCAAAATGAGGCCTATTTATGGGGTCATTGGCTTAGGCCAGGGTAGGCTGGTGGGCACCTGTCCCCTTCTGACCCCCCACCATGTCAGCTGCTGTGGGGCCCCTCACACCCTAGGAGGTGAATGTGGTATGGGCGGGATGGGCAGTTGGCACAGTCCTGGGGTCACAGCTGGCAGCTTGCTCACTTGTTCCCTCAGCACTAGGAGAAGCCCCAAGAGCTGAGAAGTCAGAAGCCAGCTAGAGGATGGATGACCCAGCATTAGGGGGTGGGTACACGAGGCACCCCACCCCAGGCAGGACCTTGTGGGGCCTGAGGAGGTGATGTGAGCAGAGGTCCCATCCAGGAGCCTGGGCATGACAGCCTGACAGGGCTGGCCACAGCACGTTGGGGAGGGGCCACCGTTTGACCTTAGGAGACCTAGGCTTAGGAGGGGCACGGGATATCCTGGCAGGGCTGCCTCATGCCATGGGGCCATGCTGAGCCTGTCCAAAGACCATGGCCCCATTTCTGCCCATATTAGAATCACAGCCTGGACGTGTCCCAGAGTCTCCCATGTCATGTACCCAGCTGATGGGTGGGGCAGCAGAGCAGCTGACAGATCACCCAGCACTGGGCAAGCATGGGTGGGGGCTCAGCCCTCACACCATTAAGCCTCCTGATGGCCTTTTCATGCAGTGGCCATTCCATGGGTCCTTGGAAGCACTTTCTGTTTGAAGCCATTCTGTCCCAGTCCTGGAGTAGAGGGACCCCCTTGGAGATATAGTCCTCGCACCTGGCCAAGGACAACCTCTATGTCCAGCCCAGAACTCCCAGGTGTCTTGGGGATCAGGGCGCCCACATTTCAGAGCCATGAATGGACAGGGGTGCAGTGCTCACTGGGGACCTCGTCTTGTCCCCAGCCAAGTACCAAGGCTGCAGGGTCACACGCTGAGAGCCATGCCCCCCCCCACACACGTGAATGCACCTGTACCTGATCAGGCACATTCGTGCTCAAACAGCCAGGTTAACCTGTTCATGTGCACACGCCCATGTACACGGAGAACACGCACAGTCTCTGCGCCTACACAGCACAGGATCTCAGTGCCAGAGGTCTGTACTCTGCTCCCTGGCAGGGAGGCCTGGCCACCGCCCAGATGGCACATTCCTCAGGCCTTCCCTTCGCCTCTGGGCACTGACTTGTCCACTTAGGAGCTCCAGTGACTTCAGAACTTGGTATTCCTAGGAGCCCTCAGGAGGGACAGAAGACACTTCCTGGAGGCAGCATGTGACCCCGAGTCATGGTCCCCTTGGGAACCAAAGCCCCATCATGCACGAGCTGGGCCAGGCCCACGCTGAGCCCCCCACCTCCTCTCTGAGCAGCCCCCCTGACCAGCACACTTCATCGCATGAGCTGGATCCTCTGGGAGGCTTCCCACTGTCAGAACTGTGGCAACAGGGCTGTGAGGGGCATAGGCTAGACCCCCGTCCCCACCCCAACCCCCACATCCTCCATCCAGACCCCCTCCTTAGCCCAAGCCTTTGCAAGGACCCCACCCTGACTGGCGGAAGCCGTTACCCCTTCTTCAGGAAGATTTCTGGTCCCCTGGCTGTGTTGGGGGCTTCCTTGGGCTTTGGGGCCCTTGCTCCTGTCCCAGCAGCCCCATGGCTAATCTGATCCCTGAGTCCACCCCTTAAGGGTACCCAGCCCTGACCCCTCACCCGATTCCCTGGACCTAGAGGTGGAGGGTTCCCTCGCGTATGTGCACATTGGGGTGCCATGGAAGCAGGCTGGGTGGATGGGGTGGGGGTGACAAGCTAGGCTGAGATTGGGGGTGCTCCTTGGAGGCCCCTCAGAAGGGACGTCCCCTTAGGCAATCAGGTGTACCCAGAGTTAGAGAGTGGATCTGTTTGTGGAATGGCGGCTCCATCACCCTGGGGCTGCTGGGGGCAGATTTTACCCAGACATCAGCACCCCCAGACCTGCCCAGACTGCTGAAGCCTCTGCTGACCCCCAGCTCACCGCAGGCTCTGACCTCTCACCTCTGACTTCCTGCCCTCCACTGCCCAGCCCGCCAGGGCGAGGACAGGAGGCCAACCCCTCCCAGAGGCCCCAGGCCACGCCCCCTGGCCTGCATGACCTCGAGTGTATAAATACACCTGCCAGAAACCACACCCTGAGAACTCACACCTGCTCCGGACTGTGCGCCCCGTCTAGAAGAGCACACGCATCCCCCGAGACCCACTTGCCTGCGACAGAGCGGAGGGCACACCTGCCAGAGCAGCACCACCAGGAAGCCCAGCCACTGGCAGTCAGCCCCGTGGAAGGACCCCTGCCTGGTGGAGCACAGGCTGGCCCAGCCCGGAGGACGGGAAGCAGCCACTGCTGGGGCCTCACAGCCTGCTGGTGGCCAGCCAAGAGGATCATGCGCAGGCCTTGCTGACCCCCCACCACCAGGTAAGGCCAGCTCAGCTGGCACCCGCCCCTCCCTTATACAGGCTCAGGGGGTGGTACCTCTGGGGAGGGGCTGGGAATCTCAGTGCCAGGAACTGATTATGTGGGGCACGCCGGACAGCCTGTGGTCCCCCCAGACTGTGCCAAGACCGCTGTCTAGCCTGTGGCCACCACTATTCCCAGAGCGTGGTGACATGTCATGTTGCAATGCTGGGAGCACTCGTGACATCACAGCGATGTCACTGTGATTCATGGCGGTCAGAGTCATCACCTAGCAATGCCCAGACCTTCACGACACATCACCACAAAGTCATTCCACCGGCCCACCTGGACTAACAAGCAAGTGAGGGTCAGGGTCACCTCTAGGGAGTCCTTCTGGGCTCCACGGAGTCTGTCCTTCATCTTCCTCACCTGTTCTCCTCTGGGCAGGACCCATGTGACAGGGCAAGAGGCAGAGCTGAGCAGAGCCCCAGTCAGCAGGTAGGCCCCCAGAGCCTTGCCAGGGAGACAGAGGCAGGGTCTGCTGTGGAAATGGGACTTGGGCAGGAGGACGACAGCCTATGTGACCCTGCAGGGTGGGGGTTCATCCCAGAGGATGGCTGGGGCTGCTCCACCTCTGCTTCTCAGGTTAAGGGCATCGCTAGGTTCTGGAGGCCAGCAGAAAGCCCTCATCACTAGCTAGACGAGCTGGCCCTACAGGTTTGGGCGAGGCTGGGAAACAAACCGTCCTCGGGACACTGGCCCCCACCCTGCTCAGGCCCTCCTCAACTTCCTGAAGCCTGCAGGCTTACCATGGCCCCCGGAGTCCTGACCCTCACCCAGCCAGGCCTGGCACTGCCCCCCATACTGCTGCCCAAAAACCAGATGTGTACCAATCAGGTGTGCAAGCCGGTGGGATCCATGTTCAAACCCACCTCACCTCACTCCTCCAGTGAGAGCTCAGGTCCTGCTGACCTCTTGGCCAGGGGACCCTGGCTAAGTCACCAATCCTCTCGTGTATCCCATGACCCAAGCCCAGCCTGGCGGATCCCAGATGTCAATAGCCACTATTGTGGGTCATTGTCATCAACTTTATTTCTGTCCAGGCAGCACTGCCAGGTAGGACAGGCCCAGCAGGAGGTGTCCACTGAACGGTCAGCATAACACCCTGTGCACATGGTCTTCATTCTTAGACCCTCTGTGGGCTGGCCAGGCCTCGAGCACCCCCTGATGCTCACCCGTCGTGGAATGTGAGGAGGTGGGGGTGGCAGGATGGCGATTTGAACAGAAAGACCTTGACTCTTGTACAGAGGGGACTTTCTGGAGCTGCCCACAGGTGGGCAGTGTCCTCCCAGAGATTTTGGGGGCTGGTGCTAGGCAAGAGACATGAGGTGAGGGCAGCAGGAAAGGGGCAGCAGGAAAGGGGCAGCCTGTGATCACACACTGTGTTCTCCATTTGTCCCACAGCTCAGAGTCGCGTCATTAGGCCAGCAGGTGTGGCACGGCCATGTCAGCCCCCAGTCGGACCAGCCCTACAGCCCCAGCGCCCAGATCCCCCAGCACCCCTGGCTCAGAGAAGGTGGCTTCCCCCCTGGAGTGCTCCATCTGCTTCTCAGGCTATGACAACATCTTCAAGACGCCCAAGGAGCTCTCCTGCACACACGTCTTCTGCCTGGAGTGCCTGGCCCGGCTGGCGGCCGCCCAGCCAACAGGCCGGCCCGGCGGCGAGGCTGTGCCCTGCCCATTCTGCCGGCAGCCCACGGCCGTGCCCGCTGCTGGGGCCCCTGCACTGCGCACCAGCCACCAGCTGCAGGCCAAGATGCCAGCACACCTGCGACGGGAGGAGCCCGTGTGGCTGGAGGGCACCAAGCTGTGCTGCTGCCTGCCGCCCTCCGTACCTGGCCTTGGAGAGCCTGGCTTCATGTGTGTGGATGTGGGCCTGAGCAAGCCTGCAGAGCCCACTGCGCCCACACCCGCCCCGGGCCCTACCCGCCGCCAGGGCCGCCTGGCCCGCTGCTGGGCACGCTGCAGGGACTGGAGGCGTGTGGCGCTGGTCACGGCTCTGCTGCTCGTGCTCTTCTGCGTGGTGCTCTGGCCCGTGCAGTGTGCGCTCAAGACTGGGAACTTGCACTGCCTCCCCCGGCCCTCCACCACCATCACCACCGCCACTGCCTTCTCTTCCAGGCCCCTGGCTGACAACTAAGGTCAGCCACCTCTGCCCCGGTTCTAGCTGTGGGTCCCTGGCCCACAGGTGGTGTCATGGGTGTGCCAGCCATTGAGAGCCAGTCCCCTGGAGGAGCCCCAACATCTCCGAGGACCCCATATCCCATGCAGCTCACCTTCCCCCTACTCTGTGGGGCTGAATCCTGATGGCATGAACTAAAGGGTCCCTGAGACCTCCAAGAATCACAGGCTCCTATGTGTCCACTTTCCGAACCCCCATCATGGAGATAGCCTTGATGAGGCCGCCTCCCTGTACACTGTGAATGACCTGTGTTAGCAGCCCTTTGCTGAGAAAGGAGAGCACTCATCATCTTTTTTATTCTCACATTTCACCCATGGCTCCTTCCCCAGGCCCCTTCCCCAGGCAGGGCTGGCCCCTTCTGTGGGTGGGTGTGCTAAGGGGGCACAGGGCAGCAGCAGGAGACCCAGTCCCCCAGTGCCCACCCCAAACTGTACATTTTTAAATAAAGTATTTTGTATCCACATTTGTTAAGGCATCCTCACCCTGTGTGCTCTCCTTCCCACACCACTGTGCTTTTCCCTCCCCATTTCAGAGAGCTTTGATCCAGAGGACACCCCTGCTGGACTGAAAGCCCTGCAACTCCTAGGGTGGATAGACCCCTAGGTTCTAGGGTGTCCAAGTCCTGCTCCCTCTGGGCTGTGGATAGGCTGGAGCAGCCCTCCCTCCTCCCCCAGAAGTGTGAGGCTCCCCCAAGAAGATGGGGAGGGCCCAGAGCAGCTGGAGTAGGGTAGGGATGGGCCTTCAGCATACAGAGCCCTCCCCCAACACCCCCCAGTATGGACACAGAAGGACATCCCCAAGAAGTCACAGCTCCACAGCCCTGCTGAGAGTCCCAACAAGAGGGCCCAGGGCCCCAGGACAGACCCCCTAGGAACTGAGGTCTAAAGATGCACAGAAGCCAAGATGGCGACAACTAGTGGGCCCTGAAGATCCTGAAGACCTCCAGCAGCCCGTCCTGGGCAGGGCCTGGCTGCTCAAACAGTGAAGTGCAGGGGCATGAGCAATGGGCAGGAGTCCTGCCAAACCCATGACCACCGGCACCAGTGCTCGTTCCTGCTATGAGCCGTGGGAATCCTCCACCACCAGTGAGCCAGGCTGGTTCTGGATCCCAGGCCTCAGACTCCTCATCCCAAAGCTCAATGCTCTCTGCTCCTACTAGCTCTGGCTGGGCTCGGGGAGATCCTCAAGAAGCTGGGCCCCAGGCCCCAACAAAGACACAGAACTGAGGAGTGGTTTTATTGAGGATACCACAGAGCCACGGGACCATCCGTGACAGGAGGGTGTGAGCACAGACTACATGTCAGTGACATCACACCTGCCACATACCAGTCATGCACACGTGTGAGCCTCAGGCACATGAGCACCTCACATGCACCTGCACTGTGGGCAGCTCGGAAGCCACGGTGGGGGCTTGGGACAGGGAGGGCAGGCACAGATGCCAAGGATGGCTACAGTCAGGTCAGGCACAGACCCACCCCTTGCTCACTGGTCAGTCATGTCACACATACAGGCCAATACTCAATCGTAGCACACACAGGGTCAGAGGTGGTCACTGTGTTGTGCAGGTGGTGACTGGTGGCCTCCCATACCAAGACAAGCCCCTGAAGCCCTGCCTCCCCCTCCTCCCTCACCTGGGAGCCCCAGAAAGGGCAGGGACACTAGCATGTCCGACTGCCTCTCCCCATTTCTAGGCTTCCAGGCAGAATTAGGAGGATCTGAGGGCTCAGGGACTTCCCCCAGCACTCCCCCCAGCTCCAGTCTGTTCTGCCCTAAACACAGTCCTTCTGAGGAAGGCGAAGCCTCCAGCGTGGCTCCAGCGCCCCCTCCCCGACTCGGGGTGCACAGACGAGGGATCCCCTCAGCGCGCGAGGCCTTGAAGGTTCTCATACAAGCCGCAGGGGGCCTCCGCGGTCCTGCGGGGCAGAGACAGGGTTTGGTCTGCACCCGCGCGGGACCCCGCCCCGGGTGCCCCCCTACGACCTCCCCGCACCCGGGCCGGGGGGTGGGGGGGGCACTGCCCGGCCCCCCCACCCTGGGACCCAGGCCTGGTCCAGTTCCCCGACGACCTCCCCACTCCCGAGGGGGCACAGCGTGGCTCTCTTATCCCGGGACCCCGGCCAGTCCAGCTCCGCGACGACCCCACTCACGCCGGCGCCCGAGGCAACGCGGGTCCAGCGCTGTGGCGGGAATCCTGCGACCTGACGCCCACATTCAGGTAGTCGCGCTCCCCCGGCTGCTGGCGGGGGGAGGGGGGGCCGCCGGTCACCATGGTGATGGCCGTGCAGGCCCCACCCCCGCCCGGCCCCGCCCCCACCCCACCTGCTCGCGCAGGCGCCGCTGCTCGTCCTGGATGTACCGCTGCAAGGCCAGGTACACGAACTTGTACTGCGCTTCGGTCTGCACCATTCCCGAGCGCTGCCGCCGCACCAGCTGGATGGTCTTGGGAACGTCGATGTCGCAGTCCAGACCTGGACACAGCGCGCTCAGGGCCGGGCAGCGGCCGGGAGGACGGGGCGGGGCTGGACAGGAGGGGCGGGGGCCAGCGGGGGGCCGGGGCTGGACAGGAGGGGCGGGGGCCAGCGGGGGCCGGGGCTGGACAGGAGGGACGGGGGCCAGCAGGGTTCTGGGGCTGGACAGGAGGGGCTGGGGCCGGCGTGGGTGCCGCGGGCTCACCCTGCCTGCGGATAGTGTCCACCAGGATGTCAATCACGATGATGGTGCCAGTGCGACCGATGCCGGCGCTGTGGGGACGGAGCGGGAGGCTTGTGGCGAGTGTAGGGGAGGAGGCCGTGGCCCTGCCCCAGCTGGACCTGCACTGCCCGCCTACCCCGTCCCCGATCGCACCTGCAGTGCACCACGATGGGTCCGGCTCCCTGCATGCTGCTCTGGGTCCTGTTCACCTCTTCCAGGAAGCCAAGGACGCCAGATGGCTCTGCCGGGACCCCGTGGTCTGGCCAGCTGAAGTAGTGGTAGTGCTTCACTGTGCGCCGTGGCTCTTCCTGGGCAGGGTGGGCTGGTAAGCCGGGCCAGTCTGGGAGTTCCCAGGTGGGGCCAGGCCGGGGGTGGGGTGGGGGGTAGGGGGGTGTCAGAGTGGAGCTGCTGTGAACCCTCATCCCTGGGGATCAGAGGGCACAGGGCAGGAACCTGCAGAAGGCAGGCAGGATTTGCCAGAAGGAATGACCAGCAGGGTCAAGGCCCAGCAGATGGGGATGGGAGGGAACTATAGGGTTCAGAGCCTGGGGGCACTCAGATAGCTCCAGGTGGGCTCAGGCCCCTGGGGAAAGGAAGAGGGAGCAACAGGGTGACAGGTTTAGGGAAAATGAACTCTATTTGGGAAAAGCCAAGTGTGAGAGGCCTGCAGGGCCCCCCAGGTGGTTAGACATAAGAAACCAGGTAGAGATGGGGGGGCCTGGGAAGGGATCTGTTCCTGCCACAGAAACAGGCACCACTGGCATATAAAAATCATTGACTCTACTGAGGTGGCCCATGGAGAGAGTAGGGAGGGAGAGGCCATGTGGATGTGAGGTCACCCTGGGGCCAGGGAACTGGGACCTGGGGGCCTAGGGTTGGGAATGTCACCTGCCTGTGAACACTGCCCCGTAGCGCCCAGGCCAGGACTGTGCCCACTGTGCCCACTGGGTTAAGGAACCTGAATTCCATCAAGGCCAGTGGGATTGGGTGGGGCCCCATGAGGGGGTTCTCCCAGGACAGGGCTTCTTCACCCCCAGTGCAGACCTGTGGACTTCTACCACTGTGACTCTGACCCTGCATGCCTTGTGGCCCTCTGGGCTCACCTGATCTGGCCGCCACACCTGCAGTTCCCGCACACAGTAGCCCTGGGCCTGGTACTCAGCCAAGTTGCAGATACGTACACAGCCATATTCTTGGCTGCCATGCAGCTCTGGCCAGTATCGGAAACATTTGTTCTGGGAGGAGGGTGCATTGCATCAGCTGTGCTGAAAGACCACCAGCACCCTTGCCCCTTATGCCCTATGGGGATTTGCGTATGCATACACAGGGGCCTTCCAGAGTCCTCCCCACCCCCTATCAGCATCCCGAAGGATGAAGGAGAAGCAAGACAGCATCAGCCACCAGCACAAGTCCACGTGAGCACATGATGGGGAGGGGGCTGTCCAAGCTCCTACCCGGCCTCGCTCCACCTCCCTTGTGGCCATGACAATGACCTGTGTATTCTCCTGGTATACCATCGCCCAGAAGGCAGCCACTGTGGTTTGCAGACAGCCCTGGGTGGCGATGTATACCTTGCCCAGTCCATGACCTGGCTTCGCCTCTGGATCACTCTGTAAGGGGGTGGGGGTCAGGTGTCCACTCTTTACAGGATTTAAAGTGCAGAGAACAATGCAAATCTATGCAAATGATGTACAATGTAGCACCAGGTGGTTCACAAGCAAATCAAAGCAGCACCACCAGGTGCCTCGCACATGGCCCCTCCTGCCCTAGACTAGGGAGGAGCTTAGGACCAATATTTAGTCCAGCCCATTCTGAGAACCCCTTGGAAACTGCCACAGCCCCTCTCTCCCAATCATGTCTCCTGTCCTGCCAGGGTCCATGATCCCTGGGGGACCCAGATCTTCCTGAACCTGTCAGCAGGAGCTCTAGATTCATCATAGAGGGATAGGGTGACTGGTATGTAGCCAAACATGGCTCAGGTTGTCCTATGTGATCCATGCTAGGCTCTACATGCAGCTGGCCACTCACACGTGTCTCTTGCACACCCACCCTGATGTAGTTGGCATTGATGTAGTCTGCTCCAGGCACACTGTCGTCCACATCATGCAGAGTGACACGGGTGGTATCAACTGGGAAGGGGAAGATGCTGCTCAGGTTCCCAGAGGAGGAAAAAAGGGACCCCACCTGCCTCCTTGCCTGGGGACCCCACAATGAGCAAGATGAGGGAGGGAGGGGCTCTGTGCAGAAGGCAGAGTCACACTGGTGGGAACCCACACGGCCTTAGCCCACACGGGGCTCCTCCTCGCCAGATCGGCCCCACATGTAGTGGATGGGGTCCTGCCCCCAGTGTGGCCCCGCGCCTGGCCCTCACAGGGAAGGATGTTCTTGTAGCGATTCTTGGGCTTGTTTTCCAATCGCTGTCCCTCTTTCCGGGGATATAGGAGCCGACATTCCTGCTGCTGCAGCATCTAGGGGAGGGGTCATGGAAGCCTCAGTCTTTTGTTCCCCAGAGCCTTCAACGACCATCCTTCCTGTCCTGACCCTCCCCCCTGACCCCCCCTCCGCCGCTGGCCCTGGTCCAAGCCCCAAAGGATGGGAGTCTGTGGGAGAGTGAACAGTGGCGAGGGGGACGGGCACCTCAAACTCTTCCCAGAAGCCCTGCTTGGCCTTCTCGCTGGCATCAGCAGCCCTGTTGAGCTCCTGTACTCGGCTCTCGATGCTTGCGGCATTGATCCTCGTGGCCTTGAGGGGCTGGCCGGGAGAGGATGCGTCCCTTAGCAGGGCCCAGCAGACCCCACAGCGCCTTCCCCTGGGGCAGCTACCCTGGCCCCACACCCTTTCCCCTGGGTACCGGGGTCCCTTGGGCCCTCCCCACCCCAGAGGTGAAGCTCACTCTGGGTCCCAAGGCACCCCCTGGGCTCTGGGCATACCTGCTTGAGATGCACCACAATCCCCGACTTCTCCACCATGGGATTCTTCCTGTAGCGCTCCACCAGGTCTCTGAGGGTGTCGAACCGTTCCCCACCTCCTACGTCATACTTCCCATCTGGCTGTGGGGGCGGCAATGAGAGGCCTGGCCACGACCCCCTCCCCTGAGTCACACCCACCCCTGCTACCACCTCCCACCTGGAAGTGGATCATGATGTGTGTGACCCGTGGCCGGCGGTCTTCCTTGTCTGGCTGCTGTGTGAACACAGACAGCACGAAGTCCCCAGGTTTGCTCTGACTCTCCCGTACCAGGAAGGTACCTGGACGTCCTTTTTCCATCAGCAGCTGCTCGGCCTCCTTGCCAGACAGGTGTCCATGGTACCACCTGGCCCAGGGTGTGGGGTTCGGGGGGGACACAGGTGGTACCATGGACACCTGAGATGGGGCTGTGGCCTGGCTGGGTGAGGGGACACAGACCCACATGCAGCCAGAAGGCTCCAAGCCAAGACAGAGGGAGACGGACAGACCCACCCAGATCCCCTCACCCAGGCCAGCCTGTCTCTCTGACTACTCTCTGACTCTCCCTACCTAGGAGCAGGCAAGCAGAAGGCAGGACAGGTGGGGCCTGCAGGTCCAGAGGTGGCCACCAGGTGGCAGCCTGGCTCCAGCAAGGAGGGTCAGGGCCACCATCCTAGACCAGCCCCACCACCCCTCCCTGGCAGATGCAGTTCCTTCAGGTTTCAGCAGTGCAGGTCGGGAAACTGAGGCTGGATGAAACCGTTCACCTGAGTCACCAGCCAGGAGGTTGGGCATACGACTGGCTGCAGGGCTCCAGCTGCTCACACTGACCCAGGGGACATGAGGCTCAAAATGCCAGGGGAGGGCAGCATGCAGGACTCCCTCAGCTTTGCTGCAGCGGTGCCCAAGCCTGGCCCTGAGCCGTGGAGCACAAAAGAAACCAGAGGCCTTGCCCAACAGGCCCTGCCCCAGGACATCTGCATGCACATGGTCACAAACACCCAGATGTCTGCTGCTCACCGCTCAGATATGGGGTCCTGGCAGCCCAGGGGGTGCCTGAGCTCAACGGGGGCCCCGCTGCGCTCACGGAGCAGCCCCCCATGCTGGCCTGTGTAGTGCTGCACCAGCTCCGCCAGCGTGGCAAACTTCTCCCCACCGTAAAGATCATAGTAGTCGCCTGTGTTTTGGATCTTGACGTGGGTCACTTCGTCATGGCGCCTAGAAGGGCAGGGGCACCAGTCACTGTCATAGATGTGGGGGGGGGCATGCTCCCACCAACCCCCTTCTTCCCATCACCACCCTCAGCTTCCAGAACAGTCCTTGAGCTTTTCCTGTGCTGTTATCTCTGCCTCTGTGGTTCCCCTGCCAGGAAGAGCCAAGGCCAGGCCCTTCCCCATCCAGCAAGCCTGAGAGCCCCCCCCCCCGGCTGGTGGGTAACCCACCCCCCACTGTCCCCCTGTGCTGTCAGGACTGGACTTACAGACCACAGGCCAGACTCTCCCTGAGCCTGGAGGCAGACACTGAAGTGACCCTCCATGACCCAGACCACCTGCCTGGGGACATGGCCCCCAGGATGGCCTCTCCAGGCCTCGCAGCACAGGGAGCTATGAGGGAAGGCTCAGGGGAGAACCTCAGTCTCCAAAGTGAGAGAAGTCCATCCTGACAGTTAGCCTCAGGCCCACCTGCTGCCTCAGTTTAGCAGAGAAACTGGAAAGATCTAGAGCCACCCCAGCAGATCACCACTCTTTCCCACAGACTGACCCCTTCCCATCCAGGGCCGACACAAGTCTGGCTGTCCACTCTGCTGCTTGCAGCCCCTCCCCCTCCCTCGTCTCCACACAATGGGCCTTTCATGGCCTCCAGCCAGACCCTCAGTGGGCAGCACCCCCAGGAGATGGGGTCATAATCCTGGGCCATTGAGGCCCCCTGCCCAATACACCAGAATCCTCAGAGGGCAGGAGGGAGGTCCTGCCAACTCCCCAACCTCACTGAGCCCTTCTAAACGATTCCCTCCTGTCCAGAAGCCACCTGGCCAGGAATGCCTGCTTCCCCCCACCCTTGCTAACCTGTTGGCTCCCCACCCCTGGTGGGGATGCTGACTTCCTAGGGTGGGGGGACTGATCCCCACCTGTCCCCCAGCTTAGGGTGTTGGAATCCCTTGAGCCTCCTGGAGCCTCAGGCCTGTCCACACCAGGCTGCAGCACCCATCCACCTTCACCCACCTGACAGACAATGTGAAGCCTCCCGGGCAGCTCTTGCTGGGTCTCGCCAGGAAGCTCCCGTGCTGTCCCCTGGATAGGAGCAGCTTCTCTGCCTCAACTCCACTGATGTTGGGGTGAAACCACCTGGAATGAAGAGCACAAGTTGGCTATCCCAGAGAGCTAGGATGTACCCTGTATCCCCCCAGCCCCACCCAGAGTCCTGGCCCACACCCAGCCTCCACCTGGTGCCTGCTGTGGGCCTCGTGCTTACCACCTTCCATGGTCTGAGGTCTGTGGGGAAGGAGGTGGGGCTATGGGGTCCCAGGGATATAGATGAGCAGAAACTTTCCTACAGCTGGAGGGTGGGTGGGGGTGACCACCACCATCAGGATCCTCACCTTTTTTTTTTTTAAAGATTTTATTTATTTGTTATTCATGAGAGACATAGGGAGAGAGAGGCAGAGACATAGGCAGAGGGAGAAGCAGGTTCCTGACAGGGAACCCTTTGTGGGACTCGATCCCGGAACTCCGGGATCACGCCCTGAGCCGAAGACAGGCGCTCAACCACTGACCCACCCAGGTGTCCCAGGATCCTCCCTTAAACTCTGTGCCTGGTCCTTCTGGCCCTGTCAGGGCATCCCAGCTTGGCCAAAGGCACTCGGGGAGCCCCAGTGTCACCAGGGCTTCCTTCCTGCCTTTACAGCCCCATGAGCAGACCCTGTCCACTCTATGCCTCCAGGCTTGGTATTGGTCACCACCTTCTCTCATGGGGCACATGCTGCAACCTCAAGGACCGCTTCCCCAGCCCTGGCTCTCCTCAGAGAGCCGCAGGACTAGCTGTTTTCTGCTCCACTGACCCACAAGCACAAGGCTGAGAGAGCCCTCTCACTTCTCCTTCTTTCCTTCTTACTCTGCCTTATTTTTCTCATAGTATTTGTCACCTCCTTGACATATAGGATGTATTATTGGCTTACTGTCTATCTCCCACTCAAGCATTTAAGCTCCAAAGGACAGAGACTGTTCTGCCTGGGTATTAATGAATATGCCTGAATTAAGAAATGAATGAAAAGGGGGGTACCCGGGTGGCTCAGTCGGTGAAGCTTCTGACTCTCGGGTTTGGCTCAGGTTGTGATTTCAGGGTTGTGAGATCGAGCCCCACGTTGGGCTCTGCTCTCAGGGGCGAGTCCGCTTGAGACCCTCCTTGTCCCTCTGCCCCTCCCTCCACTCCTGCTATCTCTCTAAAATAAATAAATAAATAAATAAATAAATAAAGTCTTAAAAAAAAAGAAGTGAATGAATAAGTAAATGGATGGCAGGGGTACAGGTGGATGGGTGGCCTACACCTGAGAGGAAGGTCAGGACGGCTGGCAGGTTCTGCCACCTGTGGAGCCCAATACAGGCCGAGTCCTGTTGGTGAAGGACTAGAGGGGCTGCAACCCTGCCTCCACCCCCCAGCCCTGCCTCCCTGGGACTGGCCAGAGGGACTGGCCAGGAAGGCCCTTGCTCAGGGCTGTGCATGAGGCCACAGCCAAGACCATAGCTGCTATGTTCTTTACCCTGGTAGCTCTGATGTCCCCTCTCAGGGCAAGCTTTTTTTTTTTTTTTCCAGGGCAAGCATTTAAAGCTCAGGTTTATTTTATTTTTATTTTTTGAAGATTTTATTTATTTATTCATGAGAGACACACAGAGAAAGGCAGAGACATAGGTAGAAGGAGAAGCAGGCTCCATGCAGGGAGCCTGACATGGGATTCGATCCCGGGTCTCCAGGATCATGCCCTGGGCCGAAGGCAGATGCTAAACTGCTGAGCCACCCAGGGATCCCCCTAAAGCTCAGGTTTAAATCTGATCCAAGAGATAGGAGCAAAGACGATCCTGCCCTGTAGAAATCTTTCTAGAATGGAAATCAGACCACATGTCTAAAGCCCCCTGGATCCCTCCCTCTGGGTCTTCTCCTCCTTCAGGGCCTGTCCTAACTCCTCTAAGGAGCCATCTGTGCACACAGTCTATACATGTATGTCCCACACAGCAGCTTCCATGTGAATGTAAATTAATTAAAATTCAACAAAATCAAACCCAGTTCCTTGGTCACACTGCTACACTTCACTGCTGAGAGCCACATGTGGCTGGCAGACACTGTTGACAGTGCAGGTAGGAAACGTTTCCATCACCACAGAAAGTTCTGGTCTGTGCTGGTCTGCAAGCTCGTCCTTGCCTGAGTCCTCACAGGTCTGTTCCCCTCTGCCCTCCAGCCCCACTGAGACCTCAGCTCTCAGAGTGTCATCTGTCTCCAGGGCCTGTGGTCAGGCCTCTGTCCTCAGCAGCACCTGACAGACACAGGTGGTTATGCCTCCTTCTAGAAATATTTCTCCAGAATTCCACACTGCCCAGCTCTTCTGCTTTCCCTGGCTAGAACCCTCTGCTGGGCCCTCCTCTTTCTGACCTCTCAACGTCAGACTCCCCACCTGAGCCCGGCATGTGTCTACAGGTCCATGTGCCTTCTATACCTCTCACCCCATGTGGGATCTGAGCCTCAAACTCACAAATACTTCTTGGCATCTCTCTTCGGAAAGGTAACATTTCTATCTTTCATTTGCAAAATTTAAAACTCCTGGCCATGCCCATAAACCATAACTTTGTTACATAGTCCTCACTCAGGGAAGGGGACACCACTCACTCATAGCTCAGGTCACCAACCTGCAGCCCCTCGGTGCTCTCTTCTCCAGCAGCCTTGTGCCCTACCTTCCAAATGCACAGAACCAACTGCCTGTGCTGGGCACGGTGTATAGTCCCTGCATTTCCCTGCAGCCCCACTGCTCCCCTACCTTGTTTTTTTTTTTTTTTAAGATTTTATTTATTTATTCATTAGAGACACAGAGAGAGGGGCAGAGACACAGGCAGAGGGAGAAGCAGGCTCCATGCAAGGAGCCTGATGTGGGACTTGATCCCAGGACTCCAAGATCACGCCCTGAGCCAAAGGCAGATGCTCAACCGCTGAACCACCCAGGCGTCCCTCCCCTACCTTGTTAACGGCCCATAGACACATACACAATTTGTGTTTATCACCTTCACTGAGGGCAGGCTCCCCAGGGTCCATGTGTTGATTCAGAGAGGCCTGGAAGCCCAGATGACCTGTCCAGGGCCACCTGGCCTGAGTAACACTCCTGTTCACACTTTCCCTGGGGGAATCAGGGACAGGGCCATCCAGGTACTTCCTGGACTTGGCCTGAGACTACTGCTTTGAGCTCCCTCCCACACTGGCTTGGGGGGAGCCAGACCTGGGGCAATTTTTGGTCAAGTGGTCCAGCAGCTGAGGCTGCCAGGGAAGGCTTCCTAGAGGTGGAGATGCCATGTGGTGACCTCCAGAGCTGGTCACAGGAAAGTGGGCGGCGAGACCACCAGGAACAGGGCAATGGCTTTCTGCTGTCCTTGAACCGTGATGAGACAGCGTGGGGTGGTAGTTTGGGGAGGACTAGAACCCAGAAGAAAGCTTCCAACCCCCTCCACCCTGGGCCACCTACTCTGTTGAACCACATCCTGTGCCCAGATGCCCCCTCCCCCCAGCCCCAGCAGGCAGCCTCAGATTCCAGTTCAAGATGGGCAATGCCCAGAGTGTGGGGGCAGGGATGGAGGGTGGAGGCCCAGAATCAAAGCCACAGAGAGGGGTGAAGGGCACCTTGGTGTCCTTTCAAGGATCCTCAATCATACTTTCCGTCCCCCTTGCCTCCCCACAAACTGTCACTGGGTCTATCAGGTGGAAATCTTCAGGGGTGGGGCATCCTAAGAACTTGCAGCCACTCCTACCAACGCGCTCCAGAATCTCAGGCTGAGGCAGGGCCTCACATCCCCCTAGCCAGACCTGGAGGTGGAGTTGGGTGCCCAGCAGGCCAGTGAGGCTTGCTGCCCCTGGCTACAGGGGTGGGAGGTGGTAGGGAGGCTACAGGTAGGGAGGCCCCTCTCTGTGCCAGAGCGCTCCCTGCCCTGTGACGGGTCAATGACTCAGCTCTGCCTTGGTGATGCGGCCTTGCAGGGAGGGGAGGTAGGTAGGGTGAGTAGCACATACTGGGCTTCCCACAGGTCCAATGGCCTGGCCCCCTCAGGCCCGCTGGACCCAGTCAGCGCTCAGGAACCCAGGAATAGACCAGGCCACCTAACCAATCAGCTTGAACCCATGCTGGCCACTGGCTGGCCTCACTCCCCGCACAGCCTTGCTGCAACCCTGGGACCCTGGGAGGCACACGATACAGAGGCTGGACACCCCGCAGGGCAAACACTGTCGTGGTGATGGGGCATACACAGGTCAGTGGAGGGGGTTCTAGGCGTGAGGACTCTAGAGCACAGGCAGTGTCCTTCCCCTCTCCCTGCTCCCAGCCCCCAAGAGGAAACCAAACCAAGGTCTGCCTGTCCTACAGAGAACCAAACTAATCAGAGGTGCACTTTCCTCTCCAAGCCTGGGAGCAGAAGGAGAGGTGGAGGGGGCGCAGCAGGCCCACCACCCCACCGAGCGATCCAGCCCCTCCCAGGTACCAGTACTAAGACACCTGCACCCAGCTCTGCCCCACAGAGAACAGTGCCCATTGACCCACAAACCACAGGGCCACAGGAAGGGGACGTGACGTGGGGGCGGACACATGGGGATCGACTGTACTGCCCAGGCCTGATAGGGGTGCAGGCCATAGAGTGACCTCCAGATGGTCACCATGGGGTGGGGCAGAGAGGGGCTGGCAAGGGCGGACAGAGCCCCACCCGGGGCTTTCCCAGGCTGGCACAAGGTCACATGCACATGACACAGATGTGGCCTTCGCTGAGCACCAGGCTGAGGCTGAGGAGAGCCTGAGGGGTCATCCCAACCAGACATCTAAACCCCCTCCTCCCCAAATTTGGGCTGTTATAGACAAATTCCTGAGATCCGACTGAGTTCTGATATTTCTGAGCCTACAAGGGCTTATGACCTTGGTGGAGGCCAGTGTGCCTCGCGCATCCCTCCTAGGGATCCTGGGACCCTCGTTACTGAGCTGTTGCTGGCGGGAGATGGGCAGAGACAGGGGTCTCTGCCTGGGGCTACGGACCTTGCCCAGGCAGGGAGACACCCTGTGGACCTTCAGATCAGACCTTGTCCAGCTCCTCACGGATTGAGCATGGCCCCTCCTGTGACCTCTGGCTTCAGCAAGCCCCCAGTGATGTGTCTCCCATTTGTTTCCCCCCCATACAACCTGACATCCCCATGCAGGCTAAGAGTCTGAGCTCACACACGTATGTGCACATGCCCATAGAGCAGGGACCCACAGAAAGGGCAGGGTGGACCCACTTCTTGTCACAGTTCCCATTTTTGCCTCATCCCGGAGGCTGGAAGCTGGCCTGACCTGTGGCTACTTAGGCTCTCAGTCCCCACCAGGGAGCTTGGCCTCACACCTGGCCCTTAGGAGGGTCTGGAGGAAAGACGAGCCCAGCCACAGAGGGCTGGTCCTTGTGACTAGACCCTCAGGAGCCCTACTGCCCTGGGTTTTGGGCCTAAGGAAGGCAGAGTGACCCACACCTGGCAGGATAGAAGCCCAGTGGCCAAAAGGGAGCCTGGAGCAGGGCAAGGGGCATAGGGGATGGAGAGTGGGAGGGTCTGCCCATTCTAGGCTCCAACCCCTGCCACCCACCCCTGTAGAGCCCCTTCTGGTCCCTAGGGTTGGAGTGCTTCTGACCTCCACCCAGGCCACCCCCTGCCCCCTTTTGGAAAGAGTCCTTTCCAGCTGCCTCCTGGGCCTGGGGCCCTGGTGTCGGGCCCTGGCTGGACAGAGAGGTCTCGCCAAGAGGTCTGGCCTGGGGGCAGGTCTCCGCGCTACCCGTCGGTGCCCGTCGGGCCGGGCACCGCCCGAAGCGCATCTCCAGGGGTCGCAGGGTCGAGCTACCTAGCGGCCCTGGCTCACCTGCGCGAGGTCATGTCTGCTCCGAGCCCGGCGCCTGGCGGGTCCGACGGCCGCGCCCTCGAGCCTCGGAGAGAAGGCCCCGCCCCCCGGAGCCCCGCCCCCCGGAGCCCCGTCCCGGGACTTCCTTAAAGGAGCCGCGCCCGCACGTGTGCCCTGTGCGGGAGAAGTTGGGATGAAAGCAACAGTCTTCGAGGGCATCAGACTTCAGAACCAGGGGATCACGCGGCTATTCCGGGCTCGGAGGGCGAGGGCGCGGGGCGGCCGGGACCGAGAGGCCCTCAGCCTGGCCGGGGCGTGAATGTCCCAAACCCGCGTGTCCCAGGCCCCATGGGCCTTTCCTGCATTGTCTCCTTAGTGTGTGTGTGTGTGGGGGGGGCGGTGCGGAGCTGGACGAGGAGACTCCTGAGGGACGGAGGCGGGATCCAGTGTGATGACCAGGGAGCCCCCTCTCCATCCTCCTACTGTGGGGGGCTTCCCTCCCTCCCTTCCTCCCTAAGTGGTGCTGACACACCCTTCACCTGTGCTCCAGCTGCGCTTCCCACCATCAACTTGTTACCAGCCCAGCCCCCACTGGCCAAACCACCTGCTCCTAAGCCTGTTACTGGGAGCAGCACCCTAATTCCTCTGGACTCTCAACCTTGAGACTCATTAGGAACATCAAGGCCCTCTCCTGTCCACCACTTCTTCAGGAGTGGTACAGCAAGGCATGGAACCTTCTGCAGCTTCCAACCCTGAAGCCCAGATCCCCAGCCACCCTACTGGCCCACCATGGACAGAGGGGCAGTGCTTCTTGCCTGGGATACTTTCTCTCCTACACACTCAGGTCACTTCACCTAGCCACCTGAGGGTCCTGAGCCTCAGCAGCAATTGCCCTGAGAGCCTCTCCTTCTGGAAGCATCAACTCCGAGACACTCCTGGTCCTCCTGGCCCTCCTGGCCCATCTTCTCCTTGACCTCCTGGTATGAGAACCTCTTCTCCCCTCACTTGACCCCCAGGGCAGCCCACCGGCTCCCATATGTTCAGTGTGCCTTCCACCTAGTACTGCATGGCTTCCTGAACTCCATTCGGTTGGGTCTCAGCTCCTCAAGCTGAGCACCTCCAGATGCGTCAGGGTGGCAGCCACCCAGGTGCCCCAGTGCCTGCATTAGTGCCCTGCCCCCCCGGCCCCCACCCACTACAGGCCTATCCACTCTGCTCCAAAATCCCTCTCTTCTCCCTGTCTTTCTTGGGCCCCAGTACCCTGTCCTACACAGCAGGAATGCTCTCATAAAGTCTGACCAACTCTGGTTCAAAGCCCTCCTGGAGCTTCCTATAGCTCTTCAGACAGATCCCCAGGCTAACCAGGCCCTGCAGGGTCTGTCCTGCCTATCTTCACCTGCTCCCACCACCCTGATAGTCGGCTTCTCTATCCTCCAGCTGTTTGGGCTGGCCCTGCACTTCCTCCTGCTCAGATCACTTCCGTTTAGCCGCAGGACCCTTGCACTGAGGTACAGATACCTCCTGCCCTACCTCAGGCCTCCACACCCTTGCTCTAGCAACTTCCTCACCCTCAGGCCTGGGTCTGAGCTCCAGGTTTTCCTGGACCTTCACTGGAGCCTCAGGCTAGTCCTGCCCCCTTGTAAGCATCTTCACCTGCCTATCCTTCCTCAGCATCTTGGGGTTCAGAGCCATGCTCCTTCCCTTTCCCAGCACCTGACAACTGACTGGCACACACTAACACAGCATGCATTCCACACATGTCTCCTGAACAAACAAGTTAAGGAATAATGGATTAAAATGTGAATGTGCATGGGCTAACAGGTCACCTGGGTGCAGAGTGCATGGTTATTTTTGTGTCCTTATATTCATTTTCTACCTTTTTTCTATTAACAACAATAACAAAAAGAACATTTAGTTATCCTTTATAAAGGTCACGAGTTTCAGAGAGAAGGCCACTCAACTCTCCTTTTCCCCTGATCCTTGTTAGAGGTTCACAGACACTGTGGGGCTGGTCGGTCATAGCTCCACAGGACCAACCCATGTCAGGGACTCCTACTTAGGGTCTCCCAGTAGGGCCAACAGTCACCCTCCCAGCTAGGCCAATGAAAAGGGTGTGTGCCCTACCCACCCACCCACCCTGGCTGCACCTCCAGGCCCCCCACCCTCCTGTCCTTAGTACAACCAGACCACTCTCCTCACAGTTCCCCTTCCCATCCAGTGCTCACATACAGATGTAGAGGACATCTGTGCAGACACACGCATGCACATAGGCACCACCCCCATCCAGAACAGTGCACTCTGCGAAAAGCAGCCCTACACCCCAGTGCAAGGCCCTTTGCTCCATCCAGAGCCTCCTAAGGAAGCTTGGAGCCTGTGCTGTATCACAAAGCTGAATAATAAAAACAAAACAAAACAAAACAAAACACCAAAGCTGAATAAGAAGCCACAAGAGAGGAGGCAGCCAGGTCAGTGATCACTTGGCCAGGCAGGGCTCAGGGGTGGTGTTGGGTGTGGACAGATGCCAGCACCTCTTTTAAAGTGTTCAGACTTTATTTCACGGTGATTGACACAGACACAGACACAGACTGTAGTTAGTAACATGACATATGGGGCTCCCTCCAGCCTTTGGGCTCACTGGCCCATTCACCACTGTGGGAGGGTTAGGGCTGCCACCCCCACAGGACAGGGGGTGGGGGACAGGTGAGATGGGGTGTAATATTGCAGTTTTCTCTGCTGCCTCTACACTCACCCCTTGGCCTTGGTATTGGACAATGACACCCCTCACACCAGAGCTAGACGTTTGCTGTGTGGTGTGTGGACTCAGGAGACCTTGGGCCAGGACAGGAAGGATGATGGCCCTGTCATCGCAGGTGTCAAATGAAATCAATGCACAAAGGTTGGTGGTCAGACCTGGACATCCATCCTTGAGAGGGGGATGGCAGCTGGCCAAGCCAAGAGGCATGGTCGTCAACCACATCACATAGCAGCTCTGCTCCCTCTCAGGGCTCCTACTGGGACCTGGGGTCTCAGGGAGAGGACACAGCTATGTCCAAGGTGGCTGAGTAGACAGGCAAGGCCAGCTAAGGGCCAAGGTGCCCTGACCAGGTCTGGGCCTGGCCTCTGTTCTCCAGCACTCTGGGACTGGTGGACATAGTTGAAGGAAGGGGAAGCACAGCCCCAACAGTAACATTGCTTCTAAGTCACAGTATTGGCACAGGAGGCCTGGGAGGAGGCCGTGTGGGCTCGCGGCTAGCCCTGGCCTACAGCACACGCAGTGGGCAAGAGCAGCTCAAGTGGGAACCTGGAAGAGACCCCTTAGGATTTGTGTGGAAGAAGGGCCCCCTCAAGCCCCAGCAGCACCTCCCTGCTCTGGGGACACAGTGGACACACAGGGAGGCCCAGCAGAAGGGGCTGAGACAGTGGGCCAAGGTGGAGGCGCACATCCTGAGGCTGCTGCTGGTCAAGCCCTTCAAGCTGCCTGCGCCAACTCCCCTGCAAGTCCCAAGACAGAGTTTATCTCTGTAGCTTGTCTGCTTGGACGGTAGGGAGGCTGGTCCAGCAGTCCCTCTGGCCAACACATAGGCAAGAAAACCATATCAAAAAAGCAATGAATTTACAAAAATAGAAAATAATGACAACGGGGTAGGTAGTGGACTGTGTTGTATGTCATGGGGCGGCACAGGGTCGGAGCTCTGGCTTGGTGACAGCATCCTCCAGCAGGTGCAGGGGGCGCTGCCCCACCACCACATCCCGCAGGCAGCCCACAAAGCCCGTGCCATAGGCCTTGGGCAGGGCCTGGCCCATGGGCAGCTTCTCCAGGCCACCTGCAGGAAGACAGGAGGAAGACCGCCCGGTGTGACAAAGGGATGGGCAGCCTGGAGCACCAGCCAGCAGAGAGACCCGCCCATACTAGAAAGACCAAGTGAATTACCTGAGGCCTGTCGGTGCCCTGGGGGTGAGGGGGCCATGTGACCAGGAGACATGTTCCAGCCCCCTCGCCCCACAGTCACAATCGCCCAGGGAACTGCAGTGCCTAAGATGGAAGTGGACAGAGCCCTACCCTGACTCATTGGTCTGCCCTCCTGGATGGGGTGACTCAGGTGGCACTCTTAGTTGCTAACCCCAGGGGATGAGGTCTGTCTTTCAGAGATTCTGAGACCCTGGGGGGGCTCCCCCCACTCTGGCTGCCCCGAAAACACTCACCCAGCCATAGAGTTCCGTCTGTGTCTAGCTGTGTGGCACCCAGCGGGGAAGAGCCAGTCACGGGAGCCTCATTGCCCACCTGAAGGGAACCTTCCCTCTGTTCCCTGGGGGTGGGTGAGGCCATCAGACAGTTCCAGAGGTCACACCTGCCCCCAACCCCCATCTGAGCCCCATATCCCTCTCACCCAGAAGCCCTGCCCTGGGGCCCACCACCATCACCCCCAGGATCAGAATGAGATGGCCATGGTCCCTAGCAGAACACATGGTGGCTAGGGCGGTGGTGGGGGGGCCTCATATGGGTTAGACTTTGTTGTAGGGGATGGCCAGGCTCAGACTATATAGACAGGTCTCCACACATAAATGGGGCAGAGCAAGTACCCCCCTTTTGGATCAGGGATTCCTCGGCCGTAACTGCTTCTCTTTTGTCCTCCTCCCCCCCATCGCTGGCAGTGGTCATGAGTGACTGGGCACACCCCGGCTGGGCAAGTCCAGGCACCACCCGCCGCTATTCTGGGTGTACCAGGCTTCCCACTGACCTATGTGCCCTGACTCGTAGCCAGCGGTTGGTGTTGACAGGCACGGTGGAGCGCAGCACGACGGGCTGGGAGCCCAGGTCATAGGTCAGCTGCAGGCGCCCATCCACGATGGCCAGTGCAACATAGTCGGACCGCTCCGTGGCCTTGCCGCTCCACAGCACCAGCCCCTGAGTGGCTTCCGTGCGCAGGCTCAGCTCAAAGTGGTTGCTCTGCAGGGCCTTCTCACTGCGGAGCAGAGAGTGGGTCAGGGCCTCCGGGAGGGCAGCCAGAGATGGGGGGCGGGAGGAGGGAGGGCCAGGGCCATGAG